AAGTAGACTGTGCTAAAGCATTTTTATGTTGCGATTATATCAAAAGATTAGAGATAAGACTCAGTTAAGAAGATCTGTTTTTTAAACATCTCGTTTCCCAATTTTTTTTTTACAGTTTACGTTTTACTTGTCTGTTTTTAGCAACAAAAGTTTTTGGTGGTTTTTATCAATTTTTACCTCGCAATTTCACGCGCATGACGGAATCCCTCCATCCACAAAGAGAATAACAAAACCCACACCCTGTGAGCAGATCTGTGTTTTGCCGCATTTCCCTTTGCATCTATTTAATCCCCCTATACCTTAGTTAGTATACATCAGCAAGTATTTGTCCAAATTCAAAAAACTTTTCAAATTTTTGGTAGAAAATTTTCGGTTCTTTGAAATTGTTTATTCGTAAAGGGAGCTTTAGTTTCAAAAAACGTTTTCAAATTTTTTGTAAAAAATTTTCAGTTTTTGAAGTTGTTAGATCCCAAAGAGCGCTAAAAACATCCAAAAACAACTTAACTATTCGCTTGAGTTAAGAATAAAAATCAAAAGCTTTAAATTCGTTTTTCTCCATACTGTGAAAGTTTTTTTTGGAATCTTTTAAAAATCGTTTGAATTACAATTGAAAGAGCTTTAAAATAATATATCATTCGACTCATTCCCATAATTACTTGTGTTGCTTGTTTTTGCATGAAAAAGAAAAACAGGAAAAAAAGAACAAAACTAAAACACACCCGATTACAAAATTCCTCCCCATATTTTAAATGGTCAGAACTACAACTATAGAAAAAGAAAAGACTCAAAATAAAGAGGTATGAGAAAAAACACCAAATTTGATTTTTTTAATCATGTAAGCTTTTTTCGGAAAAATGTGTTTATCATTTTTATCAATTTTTCTGTGAAAAACTCTGATATGCCTCCCTGAATTGGGCATTTTTTTCGAACGGCTCAAATATTTTTGGTTGCCAATGTTCAAAAAGAATTGTACTAGTCAATTATTTGGCAACGTTCTGTCAGAACAAAGAAAAGTAAGATATCTCGTAATTTACAGGAAGATATACTGTATGTTTTGGCTTTTTTTTGCTCCTGACACCTTCAATTTAATAGCCAAATTTCAAAATAACGGAATACTTGTGTTTGGGGTAAGTTTTTCAACAGACAAATTTTGACCTTTTAACTTTTTATCAGAAAATTCTTAGCAGAAAATGACTAAATCATTGGATAATTTTTGTTGCTCTGAGCTAAAAAAAAAATATTTTCACCAGTCAGTGTTTCTCGTTTCTCGTATGGCTATAGAGATTTGGAGAGGTGAGTACAACTCCATCGACACTAAGAGACAGTCGGAACCTTCAGTATTTTGCCCTGAAACGAGCAGTCTTGTTTAAATATATAAATAAAAATACTTCGATGTCTTCTCAATTAAAATTTAAAAGAGTTGACTATCAAAATTGGTGTTTTTAGAGGCAAAGGGTCAAAATTTATCAGCGGAAATTTTTGTTAAATACTGCTGTAAATTTTTGGCCTCTGAATAAATGGACATATGTTAAATACACGTGCTGTCTGTGTTTGTCTCTTGATTGATAAACATAATGATTAAAATTGAAATTGAATAAGAAACTACCAGACAAACAACTACTTGTAAATAATTGCTTTTGTCTACAAAAAATCTGAAGCTTATTTAAGCTTGTTGCAGACTTTAGTTTGCATTTTTAGAAAATTTTTGTCTGTTAAATAATTTCATATTTGATTTGATCAGTAAGTTTGAACTTTGAAAAAAAATGGAAATAAAGTTAATCTTGTCTTTCCTATTTACGAGTTTCATTGTAAATATCAAATGTGAAGGTGGTAAGTAAGCATCTTTTGTTCTTTTTTATCAACCCCAAGAATGTTTTCCAACAAAGGTTTTCAACTGAATTGATAACAAAAACTTAAAACGTCAAAATTTTTGCTGGAAAAAAATGTTAATTACAAACTCGTGGTGTGACAAGAATGTATTTAAAGAGAATCAAAAAGTGATCTCTTTGAAGTATAATAAGTAGGGCGGGAGGTTATAACCGCACATCAAAAGCTGTAGCATGCTACAGTTGAGCTGTTTGGTGAGATTTAACCGTCAAAAGACCGAAGAGTCAAAACTTTTCATGGGTTTAATGAGAGTTTTATTGAGACTATAGTGTAAACTCTGAACTTTCAGATTGAAAACAACCTTTGTAAACCATTTGTTAAGACTCAGCCAAAAACAATTACGTTTATTTTTCCGTTGGGGCCGTTGTGTGCATTGGTAAAATCACGACTATTCCAAACTGCGCCTTATGAAAACTCTTATTTTCGATGTATCACTTCACTATAATCTCTATTACGCCATGGAATAAGATTTTTCCGACAATGTTATCTCCATGAGTACTGTTTTCCGGCAACATCGCTCAAACAGTTGATCGATTTCCGATCCATTGGTTCAGTGCTGCACTGCATACCTGTCGCAGCAGCGGCAATTTAACTTGGAAAACTTATTCTATTTTTTTTCGTAGAAGTATCTTAAGCTATGGATTGTTAAAGGACGCGTTTCATTTACAGATACCATTTTAAAAGAGTTCACGTGTTCATGGATTTTTGTTCTCGGCTTTGGTTCACCTATTGATAGTTTGTTGACACAGGCATTCATCATGGGTAATGAAAACTGTTTTTTGTTGAACCGTATAGATACTATCCGTACGATCCACTGTTGAATTTCAGATAACATCGAAATTGCCATAATCAGAGTCGTGTTATTAGGTGTGTTTTGATTAATTGGATGTTTTGGACGTTCAGAATAATTCGTTTTTTCGACATTTAGAACCGTTCTATGTTTTCAATGATTTTATTCTTTAATATATAGCAAAAAATTACAGATAGGTTTTCACCGGTTTGGGTTTTTAGTCTTCTCCACATGAAACGATACGGATTTGTCACCAACCGATTTCTTTTATTCTTTAGACTCAATTTCAGTCCACATTAACCTTAAATCATTTTCCGATATATTATAAACGAAAATTCTCCACCCATGATTTTTTAAATATTGTTTTTCAGTCAAATCCGACAGAAAAATTTTTTTAATTATCCCAAACAAAAATTGGTGGATCCGTTTATTTTTCATACATAACAACTTTGGTACCATTCCCGAAGACCATGAACTTTTTTAAAGAAAATTCGTCTCCAAAAGTATATTTTTGATAGGCATTGAACTCGATGGGCTTAGAAGATTAAAAAAACCTTAACGACTAGAAATAAAAAAAAGTTCAAAAAAAATCAAATTGCATGTTTATAAAAAACTTTCAATTTTTTAAAGAAAATATTTCAATTTTTTGAAATTTTCTCATTCCAAAATGCGATAAAAACATCAAAAAATGAACTGACATTTCATGGCTTTTTTTATAATAAGCCTGCTCGCTTGCTTTGACCATTCAAAAATAGACAAAAACTCAAAAATTTGAAACCGGTTTTTCTCGACACTGGGACCTTTTTTCGATTTTTTATTACTTCATTCGAATCAGGGTTGAGTAAGTTTTAAAGTGAAATATCACTCGGCCATTTCCTTTGACTGTTTGTGGTAAGTTTTTTAGTTGATATTCAAAATAAGCCTGCTTGCTCACCTTATACGCTCAAAAATAGAACAAACCGGTTTTTTGACACTGAAAAAAGTTTTTAGAAAATTTCAAAGTCATTCGAATCACAACTGGAAGGGCGTTAACATTATATCTCACTCGACCTATCCGATGACTATTTTTGCTACCTGATTGTGATTGGAAAACAAAAGAAAAAGTTAAAATTCACCCAAACATTTTTCAAATGGACGAAGCAAAAATTCACATCGGAGACCGCCAAAGCATAACCCGCCCAATCGAAAGATTCCTGCAGATTTTTCACGAGCGCTTAAAATCTAGGTAAGGATTTGATCAACATTTTCAAAAATTGAGGAAAAACTCATAGTAAGAAAAAAATTGAGTAGGTACTCAGAAACTTTCTTGTCGCTAACTAACTGGCTTTTCTAGCGTTTCTCTGCCACATACCTATTTACAAAATATTTTTTTATGAATAACCATTCAAAGTACAAAATGGGAAATGGGCATAACTATTTTAATTATAATTGAGTGCAATACAGGCCTAAATTAAAACGTTTGCTCGAAATGAAAAGATTAGAAGTGTTCAGTAAAAATCCTATCTGGCTAAGATAAGAAATCTAAAAAGATAAGAAATCCAATCTAGAAAAAGTAAACATCTTAATCTGTCCTTCTCTTAACGTTTTTTCAGATTTAAGTTCATGAAATGATTAAAAATAAACCTCAACTATATGGAAAAGTCTATATGGAAAAGAAACCTTGCCAGATCTTGTCAAGATTTTCACATGCTTCAGAATCAGAGTTCAAACCGGGTGCGGGCTTTTTTTGGGGCTGGCCGGGCTCGGGTTTCGTTTTTAGGATCAGCAACCGGGCCGGGCCATGGTCTCAAACTCAGGCCCTGCTCTATATCTGTTCAGAACTGCAGATGAAATAGGAAAATCTTGCAATCTTTTGAAAAATTGTTGAGTTCTTTTGACGTGTCGTTTCAAATTCAAAAATTGAACTTTTTAAAAGATATTTCATTCCTTAAGCAATCTTCTGCCCGCAGATATAAGGGTACTTTATTTACAATGGATTCGCTGAAAAAGTAATAAAATTGTAATAATCGATCGTTTTGAAAATTTAGGACTGTATAATATACCTCAAACTATTCACTTCTTTCTGGATCACAAAATTCCAAAAAAAAACAAATTTTATTTGAATAAAACTGATATTTGCTACTTTAGGTTTCATTTATTTTTCCGAAAAATTTTTTAAGAAAATTTGATTGTTTTAGGTACGCTTTGCAAGTTTTTAACTCTAGGTACCTTTTTAACTTCTAGACTTTGCAAAAAAAATCCTCCAAAAAATTTCATATCTTGATCCTCGAATGAAAAACTATAACGTGTTGAGGGTTTGTAAAATGAAATGCATATTTTATAGAACTCTCAGATGATGACAAACTGATAGCACTGGATGAGCACAACAGACTGCGAGACAGTCTGGAGGGGGAGGACAGACACGGGGAGGAGTTCCAGGGCTTCCCGGTGGGCATGAACAAACTGGAGTGGGACGAAGACTTGGAACAAACTGCACAGGAGGTCCACTTTTTTTTCAAATACAAGTATCCAGACAATTCCAAAAATCTAATTCTTGTCTCTAAAACCCTATCGAAAACTTTTTGAAACTGGCAAAATTTGCACGAAATTTTTATCAAAATAAATGGTTCACTTTGAAATCGTTCACCAATCTGAAACGTTTTCTTTTTCGCAATTTTTTTTCAGATTGAATTTTTGAACTACCACCCCCTTTGAACCTAGTAACAAATACCCCCTATAAATGACTAATTCAGCGGTTAATCATAAGCCCTTTTGCGAAAGAGGGGGAAACAGTTACACAGATCTTAATTATGTTCTAGGTGGCTGACCAGTGCAAGAAGAAACATCTGAGCTACAGAGGTCCCTTGTTTGAACAACTGGAGTTAGAGATGGGTTCCATAGGGGAGAATTTGGCCTACGGGTCCCAATACAAACCAGCCAGGGATGTTGGGGACTACGTGAGGTCGTGGTACTCGGAGATAAAACACTTCGACTGGAACACTCTCGAATGCACCCGTGAGATGTTTAGATTGTTTGCAGAGTGTTTTTGGATCATGTTTACTACCCCCTCCCCTGTTGTTCCTTGTAGATAATTATAACTTCCTATAAATAACAATTTCAACGCTTAAGTAAACGCGAAACTTGTAATTTTTTTTCTGTACGGTACTGAATTTTTGTATTTTTTTTCTGTTTTATAGTCCAATATTGAATCTTGTTGTAATTTTGACAAGAAGCTCCTGAAGATTGAATTTAATTGTTTAAAGTTAATCAAAATACTACAATAACTTTTGTAAATGCAAAGAGATCCCTGTAGTTTTTGGGAGCCCTTCAGTTATTTGAGAATCTTTCGATATTTAGAGTTGTCTACGTTTTTCCGTCACATTTCTTAATTTGAGGCATTTAAAAAATTTTTCTACGACATATAGAAATCTTTCACGTAATCCGCTAATATGTAGTATCTAATAATGACCAATATAATTTTGTTAATGAATTATAGTTTTTTTTATTTCAGAAACGGCCGCAAGGAAATTTTTTATATTCATAAAAAAACATGGAAGAAATTCTAGTTTCAACAAGTTTTTATTCCCTTTTCCTTACTATTATAAACTTATATTTTTCCATCTTTTATAAGCTGATATTTTTCATGAAAAAAAAACGTAAAGTAACTAAAACTTGAATTTTATGCGCAATTTTAAAATCATGCTTTCAACATCTTTAACCCTTTTTCGTAGAATTCAAATTACTGTACAGTTTAACACCTTAAATGAAACATAATTAATCAAAACAACATCCTCAATCTGATGAACCTATTCTGTGTTCTGCAGCCTCGTTCAAATGTCTCCACCTCACCCAGATGCTGTGGGGGGAGAGTGAATACCTGGGGTGTGCCCAGAAGAAGTGCACCTCCACCTGGAAGAGTGGGAAGACCAAAGTGTGGACCAACTTCGTCTGCCACTACAGTCCAGCCGGGAACTGGTGGGGGGAGTTGCCATTCGGGGTGAATCCGGCTCGGGATCCGATTGCGATGTGTCCGAACGAGGGGAATCAGATTGACAATGTGTACTCTAACTTGTGCACTGGTGCCTGAAAGTTGGAGAAGAGAATATCTACTATATGCTTTTACAGCCTTTAGTAACTATTCGAATTTTATCGGAATAATGAATGAATAGGTTCTTGTATGTGGTGCGGTTAAGTTTTGAGACAGGAATTCATATTAAAAATGGCAACAGTTAATAATAAATTTTAGGAATTTGACATACATTTTTTCACTTCGACATCTGGATTTATTTGAGGCAAGTTATTAGAAACAAATATTATTTTTGTGGATCATAGCATAGTGATAAGCATTACTTATATGACAGGGCTTTGCTGAGAAAAAATGAGTAAAAGGCTGAAGCTGACATTCAACCGAGAGAGGCAAGTTCTTATACGCTTGCTGAAGAATGTTGACGAAACTATTACCTAATTAATTAAGAGCGGTCTTCGTACAACAATCCGCTGTACTCTCCTAATCATTAGAAAAACTTTACACCCATAAAAACTGATTACAGTTACATTTTTTGTTGGGAAATTATGTTTCTTGGTTGAGTGACAAATGATCGCAATCACTGAAAGATTTCCCCGAGAAATAGTTTGCTTTATGATAAAACCTTTAAAGTTAAACGTAATAAGTCTTTTTTTGATTAAAGGGTTGTTTTTGTTTTTCTAATTATAAGCCTTGTATATTGATGCAAAATTTCCAGGTGAAAAATGATCGAAATGTTCACAAAAGCGTATATCGCTGTGAAACTTCCCATTTGGCCAACTTGGCATGTTTGAATTTCTAATTATTGTAAGAGCCATATCAGAACATCAATAACTTCTAAATGATGTATTAAAAGACACCAAATTGTGTTTTTTTTTAATTGTACGCCGGTTCCGTAAAAAGACCGCTCTCTTTGATTCGACATTTAGTTTCTTTCAAAAATTCTTCACCCTTATATACAAGCAGTCTAGTTATTTTTTATGTTGCTTTGATTGTGTGAGCAAGTTTCAACATATTTAAGACCTGTCTCTACATTTTCGATATGAAAAAATTGAAAAAATTGTCCAACAAAAGAAAATTTTCAAATGAAAGATTTGTTGCTTTGCAGCTTGAACGTTCAAATGAAAGAAAAGTCAAATATTTACATCTTTGCAGTTTTTGGCAGCCTTTTTTTTGTAATTTGAACAAAGTCTTCTTATGTTTGCACGCTTTCATTGCTTTGACAGAGCCGAAAACCCGGAAAGAGTTGAAATCATCCGAAAAAGAGTTTTACTGGGGCTAACATTCAATATCTTTCAAATAGGGCAAAATCTGAAATCTAGTGTTTGCTTGAAAAATGCTATATCATTCAAAGTATATATTTTTTGCTATATTGGCCAAAACACTCTTTCGATGGTTTATGGATTTATTCCAAAGAATTCTGAGTCCGAAAAAAATTAAATTGTATATCAACGTCACTGGCGTCTAAGACGAAGATTTCAGAGAAACTCTTATTTTCTGATAAATTTCAAACTGTGGCTTTTCTTCCTTGACGTCTTGGCTGCCTTCGAAACAAATAAAGTTTTCAGGTACACCTTTTCTATTATTTAATTACCCGGATTGACCTCCATACAAATATACGCTGGTCGCATAATTATTTTAACGAACTCTATAAAAAAGTTGATAAAATAACATTTATGAAATTGTATGACAACCGTTTTTTCAAAAAGACCAAAAACTGCGAAATACTGCAATGTTCTTTTCAAGTATTTTTGCTTAAAGATAGACCTGTTGATTAACAAGAAACACCTTGTGATTGTTTTTTTTGTATGAGAAAAATAATTAGCCTACAACTTTCATATACGACAACTGCAGGAAAAACATTTCTATTTCCAAAAAATCCACTTTAAAAGAAAAGTTTCATTCTCCTTTTAAAGGCAAAACCAACTTAAAAAAAACTTATTTTTTAACCTATAACGTAGTCTAGACCCATTTTTTAACATATAAATATCAAAAGTCACAATGAAGATTTCCAAGATGTCTGAGTTTTTTTTTACTTTAGGTAACATGTTTGTAAACCTTAAAAATTACATCGAAAAAAAATTGCCGTACAAAATAGGGTCTTTTAGCCAAAAATCGTTCAAAAAATGAACCTTACTTAATCGCTTCACTCGCTCGAAACAAAAATTCGAAGCGTTTTTAAAAGTTTTTTAATTTTCTTCGAAATATGGCTGAAAGGGCTTTTTATGGTTTTTATTTTCACGCATTCAATTAATTTTTTGGTTACTTGGTTTTGCGTGATAAAAAATACATCTGAATTTTGTTTCTAACATACGATTTATTTCATTGTTACTATTTTTTGTCATGTTTACCTTGAAGTTAAAACTGGTAAGTATTAATGGCCTAGGTTGTTTTTCTTCCGATTGTGGCTTATCTACCATTTAAATTCAAATCAATTAAAATATTTCTGTATGATATTATGGTGAAGCAAGATTAGCTGGTTTTTGTGCAAGTAGCAGTGAAGGATTCATCCATATTTAATTTAAAAAAAAACATTACGAGGCCAAACTGTGCACTGGATAGGAGCACAATTTTATGTCTGTATATTCCTGGATTCCAGAGACAAGTCTTGAAATACTTTCTAAAAAATAAGTGGAATCCACAAACAAAATTTCAGTGGATTCCGCATACATATACCTGTAACGTAAATTTTGTCGGCACATTTGTTTTGTTGCGGATTCCTCAACAAGCAAATATAGCTAGTTGTTCTGGATTCCGCAAAACGTAAGCGGAATCCGCAAATGTAAGTGGATTCCGCATACTGTCAGTGGATTCCAAATTTTGTTCAATACTGAACTTGCATATGAAAAATTAAAAACTGAGCTAGAATTTTTATCTCTAGCAATGCAGAATTTAAAAGCAAAGACATAACCATTGTCAGAGGAATCCACGAACACGTCTTAAAACATTGTTTACCTAAATCGGTGGTTGTCATCTTTTAGTATTTTGGAAACACAACACCGAATATTTTCAACATTTGGAGTCATTGAGTTGAAAGTGAATGGAACATACAGCATATCGACAAATTAGGTCAGTATTCGGGATTGCGTCAATCCCAAAAACTGATTTTGGAAGCATAACGCCGAATAAATGCAGTAATGGTAGTCATTGGGTTGAGAGTTTATGGAAACACAACACACAGCATATCGCCAAATTAGGTCAGTATTTGGGATTTCATCGATCTCAAGTACTGGTCAGTATTTGGGATTGATGAAATCCCAAAAACTTGAAGAAATATGGAATATATCCATTATTTAGAGTCATTAGGTTGAGAGTGATTAGACAGCCAACGCAAAGCAAATCGTCAAATTAGTCAAAAAATCATACTGGTGAGTATTTGGGATTGATGGAACCACAAAAACTGGAATAATGTTCAATAAATATGGAATATATCCATTATTTGGAGTTATCAGGTTGAGCGTGATTAGAAACCCAATGCATAGCATATCGTCGAACTAGTTCAGTATTTGGGATTTCCTCGCTCGCAAATACTGGTGGGTAAAAGGGATTCCATTAATCCCAAACACTGATCTGCTCTTGTAAATTTCTATTCTAGTAAATTTCTATTCTAGTGAAATCAAATCATGTATTTAAAAGTAATAATTTTTTATAAGGCTACTACACATATAAATATATGTTAAGGGAATCCGCAAACAAAATGCGGATTACACTTACAATTTGCGGATTCCCTTTACAATTTGCGGATTCCACTTACAGTTGCGGATTCCGCAATAGCTCAATTTAACGATACAAATGTTTTATCATTTCTTTGTGGATTCCTCAAACTGTTCTGGATTCCGCAAATACAGTTGCGGATTCCTCAAATTTGCCTATTTTTTGAGCGATTTTGAGCAGTACAATGATTTACGTATTTGTTTGTGGAATCCAAAACAGCATAGAAGATCAAAGAAAAGCAGCAATGTTGCGGATTCCGCGACACATCTGATTTTAGCCTGTTGCGGATTCCGCTTACAATGCAGAGATTGCACAGTTTGGCCTCGTAATGAAGAAGAAAAAAACTTCTTCATATTTAAGGTAAAAGTTGTTTATAGAGCGGGGCGTGATTCTACAACTATACTGACGCGTAACAAAATAGTGAATTAAGCAAGATTGATAAAGTTTTGTACAAAAAACTAAAATTGAACAAAAATTAAAAAAACTTCATAAAAAAAGTTTTAAATTTTTTTTTTAAATATTTACTTTAAAAATTGTTGTATATTGTAAATTAATTAGCCAATTAAGTGCTAAAGGAAAAATCCAAAATATGACTTTTTTTTAAAATTTCAAGATTTTTGAGTCTCAAATTTTATAAAAATAAAACGTTACTCGCTCGAATTTAGACGAAAGTTCAAAGTTTTCAGACCGGTTTTTCTCGATACTGAAAAAACTGTTTGACGGTTTTGTGTGTCGTTTATATGACGACTGAAGGAAATTTTATATGATATATCAGTCAACCCAGTTCAATGATTAATTGTTTGAAAAATGCGATGATTATTTTTGGCTGCTGATTTTACTAATTTTGCTTGGAAAACAAAAAAAAATTGTCGGAACGCTCTAATAAAACGACGAACAAATGAGGATCAAAGAGAGCGTCTTGTTGCTGAATCCGTTTATAATTCTCAAAATACACAATTTTGTCTCATAAATTGTAATCAATTCAAAAACTAAATTGAAAAAATTAATATTATTTTGAATGATTAAAATGAAAACCAAAAAATATTTTTTCTTGAAAAGCGAACCAAAATTTCAGAATATTTTTTGGATCCTGCAAGTTTGAATAAAAGTTCTCTGGTTTTCTCAATTTATCAATGGGTGTTTTGAGTATTTTTGTTTTTGAAGCAACTCGTTTTGAAAAAGCAATTTTGATTGAATGGCTAGACAAGATTTCAAATCTGTGTTACGCATCACCAACTTTGAAAAATGATTGGAACAAGATAAATTTTAAAAATAAACAAAATGTATCTGCTATGAGACCAAGTTTTAATTGTCCCGAAGCATACTAATTCTTTGAGATCTACATCCAG